GAAGGTTGTGTCTTCTGTATCATCCATGAAGGTTGTGTCTTGTATCATCCATGAAGGTTGTGTGTTGTGTATCATCCATGATGGTGTGTGTCTTGTGTATCATCGATGAAGGTTGTGTGTCGTGTATCATCCATGAAGGTTGTGTCTTGTGTATCATCCATGAAGGTTAGTGTCACATGTATCATCCATGAAGGTTGTGTCTTGTGTATCATCCATGATGGTGGTGTCATGTGTATCATCCATGAAGGTTGTGTGATTGTGTATCATCCATGAAGGTTGTGTCTTGTGTATCATCCATGAAGGTAGTGTCTTGTGTATCATCCATGAAGGTTGTGTCTTGTGTATCATCCATGAAGGCTGTGTCTTGTGTATCATCCATGAAGGTAGTGTCATGTGTATCATCCATGAAGGTGGTGTCTTGTGTATCATCCATGAAGGTGGTGGTGTCTTGTGTATCATCCATGAAGGTGGTGTCTTGTGTATCATCCATGAAGGTAGTGTCTTGTGTATCATCCATGAAGGTGGTGTCTTGTGTATCATCCATGAAGGTTGTGTCTTGTGTATCATCCATGAAGGTTGTGTCATGTGTATCATCCATGAAGGTTGTGTCTTGTGTATCATCCATTAAGGTTCTGTCATGTGTATCATTCATGAAGGTAGTATCTTGTGTATCATCCATTAAGGTTGTGTGATGTGTATCATCCATAAAGGATTGCGTCTTGTGTATCATCCATGAAGGTTGTGTCATGTGTAACTTCCATGAAGGTTGTGTCATGTGTATCATCCATGAAGGTAGTGTCTTGTGTATCATCCATGAAGGTAGTGTCTTGTGTATCATCCATGAAGGTAGGGTCATGTGTATCATCCATTAAGGTTGTGTCATGTGTATCATCCATGAAGGTTGTGTCATGTGTATCATCAATGAAGGTTGTCTTGTGTATCATCCATGTGTGGTGTATGTGTATCATCCATGAAGGTTATTCTTTTTGTGTATCATCAATTAAGGTTGTGTCTTGTGTATCATCCATGAAGGTTGTGTCTTGTGTATCATCCATGAAGGTGGTGTCTTGTGTATCATCCATGAATGTTGTGTCATGTGTATCATCCATGAAGGTTGTGTCTTGTGTATCATCCATGAAGGTTGTGTCATGTGTAACATCCATGAAGGTTGTGTCATGTGTATCATCCATGAAGGTAGTGTCATATGTGTGTATCATCCATGAAGGTAGTGTCTTGTATCATCCATGAAGGTAGTGTCTTTTGTATCATCCATGAAGGTTGTGTGATGTGTATCATCCATGAAGGTTGTGTCTTGTGTATCATCCATGAAGGTTGTGTCATGTGTATCATCCATGAACGTTGTGTCATGTGTATCATCCATGAAGGTTGTGTCTTGTGTATCATCCATCAAAGGTTGTGTCTTGTGTATCATCCATGAAGGTTGTGTCTTGTGTATCATCCATGAAGGTAGTGTCTTGTGTATCATCCATGAAGGTTGTGTCTTGTGTATCATCCATGAAGGTTGTGTCTTGTGTATCATCCATGAAGTTTGTGTCTTGTGTATCATCCATGAAGGTTGTGTCTTGTGTATCATCCATGAAGGTTGTGTCTTGTGTATCATCCATGAAGGTAGTGTCTTGTGTATCATCCATGAATGTTGTGTCATGTGTATCATCCATGAAGGTTGTGTCTTGTGTATCATCCATGAAGGTTGTGTCATGTGTATCATCCATGAAGGTTGTGTCATGTGTATCATCCATGAAGGTTGTGTCATGTGTATCATTCATGAAGGTTGTGTCATGTGTATCATCCATGAAGGTTGTGTCTTGTGTATCATCCATGAAGGTTGTGTAACGTGGTTCATCCATTAAGGTTGTGTCTTGTGTATCATCAATGAATGTAGTGTCATGTGTATCATCCATGAAGGCAGTGTCTCATGTGTATCATCGATGAAGGTTTTGTCTTGTGTATCATCGATGAAGGGTTTGTCTTGTGTATCATCCGTGATGGTGGTGTCTTGTGTATCATCCATGAAGGTTGTGTCACGTGTATCATCCATGAAGATAGTGTCATGTGTATCATCCATGAAGGTTGTGTCTTGTGTATCATCCATGATGGTAGTGTCTTGTATCATGTATCATCCATGAAGGTTGTGTCTTGTGTATTGTCATCCATGAAGGCTGTGTCTCGTGTATCATCCATGAAGGTAGTGTCATGTGTATCATCCATGAATGGTGGTGTCTTGTGTATCATTCATGATGGTGGTGTCTTGTGTATCATCCATGAAGGTTGTGTCATGTGTATCATCCATGAAGGTTGTGTCATGTGTATCATCCATGAAGTTGTGTCTTGTGTATCATCCATGAAGGTGTAGTGTCCATGTATCATCCATGAAGGTTGTGTCATGTGTAGCATCCATGAAGGTAGTGTCTTGTGTATCATCCATGAAGGTAGTGTCTTGTGTATCATCCATGAAGGTAGTGTCATGTGTATCATCCATGAAGGTAGTGTCTTGTGTATCATCCATGAAGGTAGTGTCATGTGTATCATCCATGAAGGTTGTGTCTTGTGTATCATCCATGAAGGTTGTGTCTTGTGTATCATCAATGAAGGTTGTGTCATGTGTATCATCCATGAAGGTTGTGTCTTCTGTATCATCCATGAAGGTTGTGTCTTGTGTATCATCCATGAAGGTTGTGTCTTGTGTATCATCCATGATGGTGGTGTCTTGTGTATCATCCATGAAGGTTGTGTCACGTGTATCATCCATGAAGGTTGTGCCTTGTGTATCATCCATGAAGGTAGTGTCTTGTGTATCATCCATGAAGGTTGTGCCTTGTGTATCATCCATGATGGTGGTGTCATGTGTATCATCCATGAAGGTTGTGTCATGTGTATCATCCATGAAGGTTGTGTCTTGTGTATCATCCATGAAGGTAGTGTCATGTGTATCATCCATGAAGGTTGTGTCTTGTGTATCATCCATGAAGGTTGTGTCTTGTGTATCATCCATGAAGGTAGTGTCATGTGTATCATCCATGAAGGTTGTGTCTTGTGTATCATCCATGATGGTGGTGTCTTGTGTATCATCCATGAAGGTGGTGTCTTGTGTATCATCCATGAAGGTGGTGTCATGTGTATCATCCATGAAGGTTGTGTCTTGTGTATCATCCATGAAGGTGGTGTCTTGTGTATCATCCATGAAAGTAGTGTCATGTGTATCATCCATGAAGGTGGTGTCTTGTGTATCATCCATGATGGTGGTGTCTTGTGGATCATCCATGAAGGTGGTGTCTTGTGTATCATCCATGAAGGTAGTGTCATGTGTATCATCCATGAAGGTTGTGTCTTGTGTATCATCCATGAAGGTTGTGTCATGTGTATCATCCATGAAGGTTGTGTCATGTGTATCATCCATGAAGGTAGTGTCTTGTGTATCATCCATGAAGGTAGTGTCTTGTGTAGCATCCATGAAGGTAGTGTCTTGTGTATCATCCATGAAGGTAGTGTCTTGTGTATCATCCATGAAGGTTGTGTCATGTGTATCATCCATGAAGGTTGTGTCATGTGTATCATCCATGAAGGTTGTGTCTTGTGTATCATCCATGAAGGTAGTGTCATGTGTATCATCCATGAAGGTAGTGTCTTGTGTATCATCCATGAAGGTAGTGTCTTGTGTATCATCCATGAAGGTTGTCTCTTGTGTATCATCCATGAAGGTTGTGTCATGTGTATCATCCATGAAAGTTGTCTTGTGTATCATCCATGAAGGTTGTGTCATGTGTATCATCCATGAAGGTTATGTCTTATGTATCATCCATGAAGGTAATGTCACTTGTATCATCCATTAAGGTTGTGTCTTGTGTATCATCCATGAAGGTGGTGTCTTGGGTATCATCCATGAAGGTTGTGTCATGTGTATCATCCATCAAGGTTGTGTCTTGTGTTGTACACACCTTGCCAAGCAGCCTCAATCATTTGACTTTAGCTCAAAAGTTGTTTGATGAAAACATGTTGAAAAAAACGAATCTTTCAACTATATTTACTGAGTTAGACCATTAGAGTTAGACAAGAATGAAATCTACACAATCGTTCACTGTCACATTTGCTCGTAATGATGTGAGATATTTTATTTATCGTCAATCAGATCGCTTGCTCTTGTGAGATTGGCTTGCTCCCAAAGTACTGCTTCGATTCTTGTGATGTATGTCTCATTTTGTAGATAAATCTATGGGCTTGAAATTAGCACATAATTTTCAAAGGGTATATACAGTGAGCATTGTTGAATTCGCCTGAAACGAACATGGTGTGTCGACATCGTTACCTTACAAGCACTTTTCCTCGCGTTAAGAATCTATAAGTGACAGTATATACCTTGATTCCAGGGTTTTGTTTTGTTTTGTTTTTGTTTTTTTATTTTTGCATTTGCGTTGCAAGCCCTGTGTTCAAAATAGATGAAAGAATCAATTTGTTCAGGTAATTTTCCAATGCTGCTGGTTTATTCATACCACGCCATATAAACCATAAACTACTGATGCAGTGACTGGTCAGCAGGAACTGTGCTAGTCGTGATATAAAACAAAACCACTAAATTGTAATGTAATATTTTTTGTTAATATACCCTTGATTACATTTACCATGTCTTAAATTCCTAACTTTCTATTTCACTAAACTTATGTCACCAAATCTTACACCCCAAATGGACACCACGAGCTAACAATCTCTAGACGTGCTGCCTACTCAACGTATCGAATCGAACTGACTTCAATTTCAGTTCGAAAGCCGCACGTGGCAGGTGTCTTTTCGCGAACTGTTTGTATGTACACAAACTGAAACATAATAGTTCTGTGTGGACAATCCTTTTGTCCAGTGACATATGTGTAGAACTTTTTGTATGGCCATGAACTGTTACGGGCTACTGAGAGTACATCATCTTTGATGATATTCTGAGGTTGGTGGCTACTCACGATCCAGCAATACTGACAAAACCAACGCGACTCAACATGACGTGTACATTACGTGCTGGGAAAACGTACTTCTTTTGTCAGCATGGACGTTATACATGGTATCTGCTTATTCCTCTTAAAGAATTCAGTTCTTCTATTTAACTCGAAGTTATAAGCCACTTTCCTGTTGACACGGATCATCATTGTCATCAGGTCGAGGGAGGTTCCGAATTTCTCCAAAACATCAGAGAGCGCCTCGATGAACCATGACCCTTGATTTGCATTGCCTTGCCAGGAGAAGTAGCCTGAAAAGTAACATGAACACATCCAGTTTAATACTGTACTTATATGCAATGCACCGTTACATGCCTCCGTGGATAGAATGTTTTGATCACTTGGCAGACCAATATATTATATGTGCATGACCGATACGCCTTTTTTCGTCATTTAGAGGCGGGAAGAAAGTTAACATGTGGACATAGACCCTTACCTTACCTACATGTAAAATACTTTAATTTCATTAGTCAAGTTTGCTTTAACAAGTTTCCATGGCACCCTCCCAGTAAACTTTCTCCCGAGAAGCTGTATCGCTAACAATTGTATGACGTCATAATATGACGCATGCAGTGCATGAAGTTTGAAAACCGTTCGATTAGCTGTTTTCTGTTTCACTATGTACACAATTATTTTACCGACTTTCACTGCTTTTTAATACTATTTTATACATTGATTCGTTTGCACAATCAACCTAAACATAAATAACCACTTTTATTGTTGTTCTAAGCTTTTCAAAATATGTTTTGCTGATCGAAAAAATCCAGTCGAGAGGCAGGCGCCATTTTGTTTACATGTCATATAGTCGGTAGCGATCTTCAAAATAAAATAAAATGATATTTTGTACATTTAACATGGCGGTATGATAAATACGTTGTATGCTTCTCCCTCGGGTAAAACGGTCTGATGTACAACCTTTTGTAGCAGTGTCATCCCTCGCCTACTGCCCGGGTGACACTGCTACAAAGAGGCGTGCATCAGACCGTATTACCCTCAAAAGAAGCACACAACGTATATTTGCTGATGATAACTACTTTTCCACTTGCACCTAGGTTTAAAGGGCACTTTTGCCCGCTCACGTGAATACTTAGTAAGGAGTTAGTGAATTAATAAATAACTCAGAAAATGTATTCAGAAACCATGTCTCGTCTCTATGTGGCTGACACAATGCTGCTCCCAAGTTAAATATTAACTCACTTACACACTCACAATAAAGCTAAATATAGCCGTCCATTAACCAGACAGTCATCAAAGAGTGATCACCACCTCAAGCTTTAGGTGTTCCTCTACGATCACCTCACCTGGGACGACAGAATATGCAATGAAGAAATCTGCCTCAACGGGGATCCTGTACGTCACTGGTATTAACTCTTCATCCTCAGTATCTCCCGTCACGTCAATCGAATCCATCACGTCCTCAGACTCCTCCTTGTTGCAAGCCTAAAGTGGAATAAACTTCACGTTGGTGAGGGAACATTTTGCTACTTGATCAAATTGATCTGTTGATTAACAAATAGGTATTTAGTAAACGGGTATCAGGCTAATTAGCTATCTCCATCATTCTTCAACTCATTAATTTACAAAGGATTTAAAATATATGTCCGTTCTTCTAAAAGGTTTAGGTTTAAAGACAATCAGAGATTACTTCAAGAACATTTCGATTCTTCATCGAAAACAACGGAGGAAGACACTAAATGAAGAGACACATTTAACATAAAGTAACTATAACCTGTATAAAAATAGCTTGGGTTTGCCAGCCAGAGACGGGGTCTTTTGAATGGATCTACAAAGTCTTCTATCTGTACAGGTTCGTCTGTTCCATAGACCAGTCCTTCCTCGCCATAAGACAGGATGACACACGCGAAACAATCATAGGAGGTGAAGTCCGACGCTGCCACTAGGATAGATAGTTGACATGAAAACATGGATCACATGAGATAGGACACAGAATCTTTTAACATTAAAGCCATGTGCTGATCTGTACCTCTCTTCCAGAGCCTGCTGGTACGGGTAAAGTGGTTTACATATGCTCATGGTATGGTCATATTGTAATGATTGACTCTGCTTTTAGCAGAGATTTCTTATGAATGTGGAAAGGATTTTGTCGCTTCTGTGTATATGAAATAATAATCGCTTCTGATTATGTGAAAACAAAATCCAAAAGATTTGTAAAATAACAGTATGATATTTTTGAATATCAACGACACCTTTAATGTTTAGCGAAAACACTGTTATATAATCCCACATGTATTGACCAGTAGTGTCCTGTTTTTTTACTGATCAAAGAAGTAGCTCCAACCGTGGCATTCAGTTACATCTTACAGGGAACCCTTACTTATGAGATAAAGTAGTTTCAATATAAGTACCTTTCTTAATAATTGATTTCATCTCAGAAGCTTTCTTGTTTGGATGCATATTTACTGTAAAACCAAGCTCCATGAAACGTTGGTACATCTTTCCAGCATCTTTGTCAGTTCCAGTTCTAGTTGGCTTGTTCTTAAACTTTTTGTTGTCGAAGATAATGGCCAGGCCACGCTTCTCACTGTTCATCCTGTATGTTCTGTCTTGGAATTCTTCTCCTGTATAAACTGGGGTCTGTATGCCACTGTTACAAGATGAAAAAGAAGTTTCAATTTCCCCTGTCTCTCAGTCCTACTCTAGAATTCATACTTTGCTTTTGAAAAATTAGATTGAAGGTAGGTAGGAGTAACTCCCAGTCCATAAAATTCAAAATATCTTACCCTGGAGTAACATGACCTGTGCTTGTACTCTTCTTGGCTCAGACCCGGCGTCTTCACTATCTTGTCCACCTAAAAGATGAAACAAATATTTTAACAGCTAGTGGCTCAGTCCCTAACCATTGCTATAATATTGATGCCATCTAAGCTCTGGATCGCATTGAGTCCCACTATAACGTACTGTCAGTCTCAGTTCAAAAACATATCATGGACTGTGGTCAACAGTGGTGGACTGTTAACATATCTCAAAAATCGAAACTTGAATCATATTCAGCTTTCAAATTAAGTACTTAATATAGAATCTTGCCTTCAGCAAATATATAAGAAGATGAAGAGACGTTAACAAGATCTGCTGCTGCTGCCATAAACTTATGATCGAAACTGGACGTCATACTTATAGCCAAAAAGAAGAATGCCAAAGATTAGGTTTTAATTTTTGGCGAAAATATATAATTCATATTCAGCATTAAGGCTAATTTCTTTCGATAACTATTCCTACACTAATCCATCATATGGAAAAATTGTACATCTTATGTCTTCTAAATGTAAAACACACTGTTACACAACTCTCGAAATATCTTTTCCACGCTTTTAAATTACGAGAGTCACTCAATATTCACTGATGTAATTTCCACGTGTGATAACCTGTTCATGTATAATTGTATTATGTATGTTCTATGGGCCTGTGTCCTGAAACTTGGAAATAAAATTCTATGGCATATAGTACTGTCACTCTGGGATACCATTGGTACTGTCTATACCGAGGACACTGAATAATGAGACAAAATGTATAAATTGAATTTCAGGAGTTACTGGTATTGATACACCATTATTCTTTGCCAGACCGACAAATTAAAAAATACTGAAACTTAATAACGTTAGAGATATAGTACGAATGCATTCTTTGTTTGTCATATATGGCTAGGTTGTCAAAGAATGAAAGAAAGTTTCCTGTAATATAAGACAATTCAAGCATATTTCATATGAACGTTAAATACAGTGTACGTTCATGAAAACTTTGAGGTTTTGAAACATACTAATATTATCTCTATCTTTGTCGGAAACTATTCAGTTATATATAAAGTTCTATCCCCTATTTAAAGCTGCTGGTACCTGCTTAAACATCCTGGTCAAAGCAGATACACCGACACGTTTGACATATCAAAACATGTGTCAATTAGATTAGTTTGTTGTCTAACACTGAAAGAATATCCAAGCTATATGACTTGTGTGTGTTATTGATCGAACCGGACCGGACAATCCAGTGATTAACATCGCCAGCTATAATCCATGCTGAGGGGCTAGCGGGGTGATTATGATTTTAGGGGGTCACCCATTTTGTTCTGGGGAGGGGCACCACATGCTACTAGGGGTCAGCAATTTCATTACTTTGAAAATTTAAAAATTATGCATAAAAAGTATTGGGGGTGGGGTCATTGATTTTGTACATGACATGCAAGGGGGGTCACTTACTTTGTTCATAAATTTTAGAAAACCGTTGCATACATCAACCAAATCACCGAGCATGCCCTGCTGCTGGGGGACCTATATAGGTCCCGGATATCCTGGATAGGTAGTTAGAGACTAGTCAGGTCAGTTGTAACTAACACAAAAACGTCAATCAGGTTGTTCTATTTCACAAGGGGGCGGTGGGGTAGCGTAGTGGTTAAAGCGTTCGTTCGTCACGCCGAAGACCCGGGTTCGATTCCCCACATGGGTACAATATGTGAAGCCAATTTCTGGTGTCCCCCGCCGTGATATAGCTGGAATATTGCTAAAAGTGGCGTAAAACTAAACTCACTCACTCACTATTTCACAAGGCGTATCAAGAGGGTTTTACATGAATAAATGAATGAATGAATAATTGAATGAATGAATGGTATGCCAGGTATTTCGACATAACATATTTTGCGTCGTGTTGTTATCATTAACTCTCGTGCTGCCAAAACGCCAGCATTATAGAGCTTAAATGCACCACAAACCCACAACCCCGTACCACTCACACCCACCCCTCCGTCTCCGCCTCATCAAAAGCTGTATCCTCTTTCATATCCTCTTCCTAATACATTATACGGTTCAATTCTGCCTCAAGATTCCACTTGAAGAATGAATAGAATGAATGAATGAAAGGCAAATTTTGACCCAATAACATATCTTGAGTTTGCATACCCGCTTTATCGCATGTCAGCACGACTTAGTGTAGAAACTGTCCCGACTCCCCAACCGCCTGACACTTCCTGATAACCTTGTCTGATATTAATAATTATCACTCCTGAAACCATATAGCTACATATCTATAATCTTCCCATTCAACTGCTTCGCACTCTTAACGACACAGTCTACGCAGACCCACACCAACACCAACACCAACACAAAACTGTCAACAGGAAATGTGTACTTACTGTCAGCCATGCTCGAAATGAATAACCGAAACCAGGAG